TCCCCGTGTTTTTATTTGAGTTGTTCGTGGCGCAATGCACTCTGGTTAAATGCAATACATTGTGGTAAAAAGTGTGGTTAAATGCAATGCATTGTGGTAAAAAGTGATGAATTCGAGAATTCGTCGCCCCTTGTATATTTCCTTTAAATCCTGATTATGTTGCTGCTCGCTCCCTTCGGTCGCTCCGCAGCAATAACTAGTAAGAACTTTATCAAGTTGATCAATAATTTTTAGTTAAATTTAGTTTTTATCCGTAAAAGAAAAACTGGGGCAAAAAAATTTGCTGTTGAGTTGAGTAAGACTTGATGCTCATTCAGTGATGCTCTCATACGTCAATTACGGCATAAACGAACGCCAGTAAATCAGATGAATTAAGTTTCTTAAGTGTAACCAAATAATTCATCAGTTTTGGTGAACATGTCATGGAAAAGAAATGACAGCGGCAAAGAATCTTTTGTGAAGGAAAGTACAACAAAATATGTAAAATGGCACGAAGAAGAACCTTAGTTTCTATTTTCGTTCTTACTATTTTTCTCCAAGACTACAGGAATTCTAGTTTTACGTGTCGATTGGAAATAGAAACTCACCTCTTTCTCTAGTTTTTCCAATTTTTTTGCCTCATCTAAAACCAAATATACAGATACGAATTAGAAAAATCATTTCAAAATATGTTAAGTGACTAATTTCGCGTCCACAAGATTCTGAATGAAGGAAATGATCCACGACATCTCTCCTTCAATAATAATAACAAAGCCGTTTGCTGGTATTTAGTAAATTGCGAGTTTTAAGTTATTAGGCAATTGCATGTTTATAGTTAGGCCGAAATGAAGAAACTCCATGTTAAGTTAATTCTAGGAACAATGTTATTATAATTATTCGTATCTTGAAAAATTGCCTTCGCTGTTAAAACAGAACAAACTTGAAAGGGCATAATGACTTCCGTCTTCGTCGTTCAAAATCCGGTTCAAAATATCTAATAATAGCGTATTCCCTCTTCACACCTGAGTTATTGGCGTCGCTGTACTGCGCTCCGGCAAGACAAGAAATTGCATCCGTCTAATTTTAACAGAAAGAGAAATCAATGACTCAGAAATAAAATAACTAAAATATATAATGAAGGTTCAAGCCAGCCAACTTTAGCGGGAAAGGAATCTTACCAAGCACTTGCTTTGGGGGCAGCGCGACAGAATACTCATAGCTGCTGAAGTCGAAGAGGCTTTGCTGCCCCAAGCGACTTGCTTGGGTGGGATGGCGTTAAGAGCCAGGGCAATGAAAACGATCTTCAAAGATGCGACCTTCATCTTCGTTTATAAAAGTTTGAAATGCTGTGTTGTAAGGAACTATTGTCTCTTATCCGTCCTTGCAACATCATTCTTTACTTTGGACACAAAGAAAAGAAACTTGTTCTATAATCGTGTTCTACTACTGGAGGGCTGAATGTGAAAGCGAAGGTCACGATCATATTAGACAAAAGAAAGTAGTAAACTTACATGAGTCTATTTAGATTTTTTTTTCACAAATAGCCATTCTAATTAATTTGCTTTATGCACTGTTACGCATCGGATAATTATTTGTACGCAGTTCTGAAGAAACTAAAACACGAAAAATACTTATTCAACATTCAGAATAATCACTTCAATGTTGACAAAGAATTTTTGTTATTTCTCCTTTAAGGAAAATGGCTTTTATTATGACGAATAACTTAATACAACTGATATACATGTAGTTAGTTTAATCGACGCGTTTGATCGCAACTCTTGAAATTTTGAAAACACAACGTAATAAGTTTACTTTCATCAATCACGTGCACTGCCGGCGCTGGTGCCTTAAAAAGACCCCGGCCATCCATGAGACAACCCAGGACAATCCCAAACACTCATATAAACCTGCCCCTGATTTTGAACTAGGAATATTTTGGGTGTGTTCCTTTCGGCGAATCCAAAAACGGATTTTTGATCCTAGATTTGCCAGATTTCGCGGTCAAAAGGAACGTGAAATCCGAAATTGGATTTGTAACCTTGGTAACCTTTCGCCAACGCGTGCAATATGCACGACAGCCTCTCAAAAAATGACGTGTTTTCTACTGTTTGACAAATTATGCGATTATACCATGCAGAATTTAGTGGTCGGTAGTTCGAATAGCGACGATGGAACATATAAAACAGACAAAGAAAGAAGCGCATAAATTGAAAATTATCTAAAGAATGTCGGCCAGTTTGATCCAGTTCCATAGCTCGGATTTTTTTATGTAACACGATCGAGTGCCCGTCGCGTCTACAAGCGAGTTTGTAGTTAGATAGCAGTTCATTTGTTACTACTTATTTCTGATTTTAAGCAATCTTTAGAGACAAATGGTTAGTATATGGATATTTTAATGTACCAGGAACAATCTTCTAATGTTTTCAGATGTTTTGCGGCAAATGACAGCAACGAGGAAACTCTACGGCCTCTATGGGAATACTTCAACTGGAAATACCGCTGGATCATCTGACTAATTTCTGATCCACTGTGAATGGAACAGCGTAGATCACTTATCCGTTAATCTGGATTTGGATTCTTCGGATTTCAAATCCAATGAATCCTTTTTCAAAAAGGATTCACCAGATCAAAAATCCGGATTTGGATTTACCGAAAGGAACGCGAAATCCGTTCTTAGATCTAAAATCCGTTTTTGGATTCACCGAAAGGAACACACCCTTTACCTCTTCGTCGAGTACTATCTTCCGAATGGTTGACAGACAGTGTTCATTACTTGAAATCTTGACAACGACGTAGCCACGAGGCGAAGATTTGCGACTGAGTTTTTAAAACAGTATCGAAGATCTTAATTCACAGACGACCCGGAAATAGGCGACAAAGGATACCGGTACAGAAAATGGCTTGACCGGGATGATATTAACGAGGATTCAACTTACAGGAAATTGATTTCAACGATCGACTTCAAGACAACTTGCTTTGGGGTAACTTTGGGAACTGCCAAAAAAAACGCATTGTACTGCTCCGCTTAAATAGCTATTTAACTAATTGATGCTAATGTGTCGAGCCAACGGGCTTCAGGAAAATTCGTTTCAACAAAGAAGAAGTTATTACAAAGGGATAAGGAGATGTTGAAACATTTTAAGGACTTTAAATTGCTCGCTTTATAAAATACAGAGAACAACCCTTTGAAACACTTGTGAGAGACCGCTACATGAGGTAGATATTCTCACTTTGATAAATCAAGACGTAACTTATATAGCCTACTTAAATATTCACATCGCCACATTACGTAACACTAATCTTAAAAACAAATACAGTAACGCTTTGGCACTCGTCACACCCTTCTGACCAAGATGTTACTAATGAAAATGATAAAATGGGAACAAAACCGAAATTCACCACCCCATTCGCTGTGTTGTTCCTTTTTTTTCCTTTTTCCACGACCCGTGCTCGCTTCCCGTTCCCCGTCCTTGGTGGCCTCCTTCTTTGTAAGATCCGAGATTATTTAACTAAATAAATAATACAATTTGCATTGAAAAGGCAGAGCAGTGAAACGAATAAAAATTACCCGGGGAATATAATAGTAGCGGCCATGCTCGTGGGAAAAGTTTACAAACACCCTTAAATGTTAAAGGTAGCAGAATTACCGTATTTATTCGATTAACCGCCCTGGGCGCTTATTAAATTTTTGGACCTTGAGAGTAGGCGCTTTTTCGAGGCTGGGCGCTTATTAAATTTTCACCATTTTCAGCAAGTGAAGTATGTTCATTTTGCAACCAAAAAAATAATAATAATAACAAAATGCGAAGAAGTACCAAAGTAAGGTTTCTGTAAAATACTCTGAAGAAAACTGCGTCCTCGGGGAAGTCTCTTAATAGGATTTATTCACTCAAGTGGGTTGGTAGGGGTGATTGCTATTTGAGTTTCATTGGGTGGAGGAGGGGGTGGGCGCTTATTCGAGGCTGGACGCTTATTAACTTTTTCTGCCTTTAAAATGGGCGCTTATTCAAGGTGGGCGCTAATTCGAGGTTGAAAGCTTATTCGAATAAATACGGTACTCACTGGGTACTCTTGGGCGGGGCTGAACGAGGTACGGCCCCTGAAGATCCTCCGAGAGCTCTAATGGCGATCTTTTGAGGCCAACGCGACTGAAGCGGTACGATTCCCCTAAATGGTACGACGAAAAACCCCTAAATAAAACAAATGGCGATAGATTGTTATTCTATGTTTCCCCACAACAATTATTTAATCGCTCTGTAATAAAAGCGTTGCGAATGCTACTTTCGACAGCAACAGAAGCTGAAATAAGGATAACTGTAGTTCATGACAGAACTGGACACCTCACTGCCTCCGTTGACTGCATGGTTACAGTCGTAATTGTAAAACGCGCCCACAATCATTCCGTTCATTGTGGCCTTGCTTTATTGCCGTAGATTGAAACCTCAGCGTCACAGTTGCGGTACGCGGTCTGGGCACAAATCTGAGCACAAGTCTTCCTGTCAGCGGTGTTTCTGGTCATCACCTTATTTTCCTTGGAACCAGATCCTCCCGAAGCAGTGCTCCCTCTGCAGGCAGCAGCAGCCGCCATGTGGAGAGACTGCCACGCTAAGTCGTACGCAGAGTACTCTGATTTGCAAATTCAAAGTTGCAAATCTGGCGAGATTTAAGTTGGAGTTGTGGTTTTTGACGTGCAGTTCAAAAGAAATAGCCTTCTAGAGAAACAGTTTATACTCAAAAACTTGCCTTAAAATTAATGCATTCAAGCCATATGGTTAATGGAAGATTAGAAAAGATATCAAAGTCCCCGTTTATATGGAGAAAACTTGTTTCGGGAGAGAGGCTCATTCTCCCAGCCGAGTAAACGTAAGGGAGTGCTTATATGAATAAAAAAAGTTGACCCCATTCCCTTGCCAAAAGCGCTCGCGCATGCTCTTATTGTCTCGCCTTGACCGAGTTGACCTGGCTGGGTGAGCCAAAAGGTTTATGTGGAGAAAAAATGGTCCGGCTAGGAGGGTGACCCTACAATCGAAAAAGGGTGACCCGGCTGCTTTAGCCGAGCCAACGTCTTGTTTCACATGTAAATGATTCGCCAAGAAAGAAGAAATGGAAGAACAGATGTTTCTCCCAGCGACGTTCGGGGGTAGGCGAGTGACCCATTTACCCAGGATAAATTCCAAGGACTTGAACTCCGAGGGGTCACATATCCAGTCCGAAATTATTTGCAGGAGCGATGGCTTAACCCGCAGACAATGAGCAATCTAGAAAACGAACCTTTGCTGCAAAGTTCTCAGTTAATACCACACTAGGTGATCCCAGATTGCAGTTGTGATTACCTCGCTGATAAACAAACTGCACTGCGCATGCTACGTCTCGGCTGAAACGCAGAACAGTGTCCTCATCAAAGACAGTCTTGTCCTCAAGAAGGAGCGTTCTTAAGAAGCAACGTTCCACAGGCTCTAGCACAAGGATCCGTATACACGGCCATAAGAAGGAGGATATTTGGATGCCGCAAGTTGCTGAAAAAGAAAGAAAAATGTTTCATTCCATTCCTCCGGACATTATCATAAATCTGTTAGGACTGATCTTCCCGAAAAGGAGGGTTCTTTAGAGAACGGTTGCTTTGGATAGCAACAAATGAATGATCGAGGAAGGGAGTCTTTAATTAGCCGAGTGCTATGCGGGGCTCCAGAACTATAAATCCATCTCGCGCCTCGCGCGTAACGGTTATTCCTACTAATTTGCGCGCAGCTAGAGAACGACTGTTGTACTTGCTATGATTTTTCGGAGCATTCCAAGCCATTATAAATACTGATACTATTTGTAGTGATTTTAAAGAGGTCACGAAGTGAGATATCTTCGTAAGTGCCGTGTGTGATCTCCGCGGCGATGTGCGTAACGGTACTAAATCAGGCTAACTTTTACCTTAGCACAGAGACTTCTTTTGAGAATTGCTCTTGTTGAACTTCGTCCATCTCTTCCCACCTGTATCCCTTTAACGTCACGTAATGGCCTCTTACTTTACCTTTTATGTAATAAAAGGAGCTTTCGTAGTAATACACATGCTGCTCATAACACTCCATTTCCTCGCTGTGTACTCTGGGAACTGGCGTTCTGAATCCATGACTAGGCTGACTATCGACTGAAATGAAAGGAACAATTTTGTGTTCTGTCTTTTACTTGTCGGTACGTTGTCGGTCTGCTTGCCGGTTACCAGTCAATAACGTGTCGGTACCATGTTAGTAGCTGGTTGGTACATTTTTAACAAAGGCTTCTAAGTCATATATTATGGTAAGGGTGTTTTTCTTTGCGAATCAAAATCAGACTTTTTAGTGAGTGGAGAATGCGCGGTGTATCTAAGGAATTGATACTCCGGATGGATTCATTACATCAGATAGAAATGTCTAAGATATCTACTGAAAGCGGATTTTCTAATAAGAAAAAGGGGAAAAAAAACGATATCCGCCCCATCTCTGCCGTCTCCCACCTGGCATTAACGCGCTAAGGAATTTATCAATTATCGGATTTTTCAAAACAAATCCAATTCAAAGCAAGTAAGATGCAATTAAAAGTCTAATCTTAAACAGCCCTATTAAATGCATGCATAATACCGTGACGTCCACGTGTGAAATGCTTCTTACCAAATGGTTAGGTGTCTTTGTGTGTTCGGATGCTGTCATTAAGTCTTCTTTAGTTGTTCTCTTTTTCTGTACCAACCGAAGTAAGGCATGAAAAAACGTTGCGATCAGAAATAATCAAGTCCATTTTGACGTCATGTGTCTTGCGCGCGCTTATCTTTCCTGCGCTCTAGTAGTCAAGTTCAAATGTATGTACTTATCGCCGGTTTCCTAAATCGACAAAAATATGAAAGAATTAGGCGGGCTACCCAATTTGAAATTTATACAGTTCACTTAAAGGGCTTAACCTTTACTGTAAAGTGTAGGCCGTAAAATGGGCCTAAAATTTTGTCAAAGAGGAATAACGTAGGACACATTTGAAGGTTTAATGAAAAACCTTGATTGTGTCGAATACAGTTGCAAGGGAGGATGTGTAGGAGTCCCCTCGCAGGATTCTTGCCTTATATGACTGCTTATCTTATCCTTAGAGGTAACCCCTGGGGATTTATATGTCCAAAGCGGCTCAGCCAATCAGGAGGCATTGAAAGGAAAACGCGCCAACACTTAGAAATCACGTGACTGAAGTCGACGCCTTTAATAACTTTTGACAACAATGCTAGAAATGGTGGTTTTATCAAAAGAATAAGAATGAACCAAAACTGTACGATTTATGTCAGCCTTCCATGTTTACAGGGACGTTTACCACGTAATGGGGTGATGATATTCTTCCCCTTGGCAGTTTTACTGCAAGCATGAAATGAGATCAAAATCCAGAGTGAGCCCTAGATGTTCTCCCAAGGGAATATCCAGGAAAAAGGTTTAGTGTAACCGCACCTATTCTGTAACGAAGACCTATTTTTAGAGCTAATGTCAATGACGTTGATCCTTGAAATAATTTATCTCTGCAAATTTGCCAACTATTTCTGGCAGGGGTAATTCACCAGAGAAAGCTCTACCGAAAAACGTTATTGAAATGAATGAAGAATGAATTGGGGCAAACCTAACGCCCTTAATTGAAAAGCATGTGCTGATCAATATTCATTTTACTTCGTGACTTTAGATATTATATGTATCAGTGTCCTTGTTGTTAAGGCCTACTTTTTTTAAGTTTTCGAAGTATCCATTGTTTTTGGATAAGCCAGCTTTTAGGGAAGAACTACTAACATTGAAAGTTGCTTTTCCTTCATATTGTACATTTAAAATGGAGGATTTAACCAAACTAATCATTTTTGGTGCCCAACCATTACATATCGAGATCATTTTTTAAAACTGTCATCTTACTGTTGATGACTTGATCGCTTTTGAAAGATGTTTGGCAATTTTCTAGCTTCACGGCTACCGACTTAAGATCATGGAATTTTCGAGATGACGACTTAATTCCACCAATCATGTGATGCCACCATTTTTTTCACGTGATCAACATGAACACACCATTACCCCTGCAAATTGCTTTAGGCTAAAAATGACGTGTCAACATGAAAAATATCCAGGCCGAGTATGAAAACCTATGTGACGATCCATTTTCAGCACCCCAGTCAAGATAGACCACCCTAGTATCACCGTTCTCGTGTGTTAACAAAAGCACTATCCGGTATGGTTTTCGCGCCGGGGCAAGAGCTTTCCCGTGTATTGTAGTCATAGCCTTAGACGAGTGCTTTGGAAATTAGAGAAGGAGAACTAAGAAAGGCTTGAAATACTCCTACCCCCTCCTCTTTTTTTCTGTCGAGGAGGCGTCGAACGAACCACAGAGGTTTATTTGTGAATGCATAGGGTCTTAAGAATCTTGTCTGTATAAGCTCGAGCCAAGATATTTTGATTAACAAACATGGTAAATAACTTTCCATTTCTTTTTAAGAATCCAAGAAATGTTTAGTAGCCTGACTGAACACGTAGAGCTCACTTTCAAGGTTTCTACCTTCCAATTCATCTCCCTCTCTCTTGAGGACAGGGGTGGGGTGGGGGGTTAATGCAGTACAAGTGGACAAATACAGCAGAAACAGTTGTATATCTCAAGTTACAGCTTTTATTTTGAGCTTCAATCATTACCAGAAATAAGTGGCGATACATAGTTATTCTCTACGTCCCTACTACAATGATTTTAATCGCCCTGGTAACAAAACTGTTCTGGATTTTACTTTCGACAGCAACAGAAGCTGAAATAACTGTAACCTTTGTTCCAGACAGTTTCGTCAGAACTAGACGCCTCACTTCCTCCATTGGCTGCATAGTTACAGCCGTAGTTGTAAAACCAGCCCACGGTCATTCCGTTCTGTGTGGCCTTGCCTTTCTTTCCATATATAGAAACCTCTGCGTCACAGTTGTGGAAAGCAGTCTGGGCACAAATCCAAGCACATGTCTTCTTGTCAGCGGTGTTTCTGGTCATCACTTGGTTATCCCAGGAACCAGATCCTCCTGAAGCTGTGCTACCTCTGCAGGCAGCAGCAGCCGCCATGTGGAGAGACTGCCACGCCAAGTCGTACGCAGAGTACTTGTCATAACCTGCGTCAAGAAGGCTGTGGGGCAGGCGGCCATTGCTGTCAAGCATAGCGAAGCCAGAAGGTTTGCCTGCTTTTGCCAGCTCTGCTTTTAAGTTGGCGATCTGTGGGAGAGTTAAAAAAAATATAAGTAAACTAGTAATAACCAAAGGTTACAAAGTGCAGGCGACAACGATCGAAGGTCAAAGCGCTTTTGCTCTAACGCTGTGCTTTGCATAAGTCAAGTTTTCCGTGATAGATGGTCGAAACACGTGTGATCAGATTGCGGGTGATAGAAGGTCTAAACGTAAGTGATGAAATTGCGTTCCATGCATTCTGTACATTCTTAGTGGAAGTCCAAACTAATGCTTGCTTCATACATGCGACGAATGCGTGATAACAACCTGGCGATTACAACTTTGGGCTTCTCTTGTTGCCCGCAATAAAGGAATAAATAGTAAATAAATAAAAAGACAATGAAAAAAAGAATAAGAGATATAATAATGATTACTTGATACTCTTTTGAACTCTCCAGCTGTTAAATACGACTATTAAATCAATAATAAAAACTAATTTACTCTTAAAGGCAGTCTCCTGTGATCAGTAATTCCCCGCAATATGTGACGTGGAAATCTGTTGTTGGGATCAGAATGGGGGTTGATGCTTATTGTTCACATACATCAATATATTTGGACTTAAACAAACGCCAGTAAATAAGATAAATTCACTCTCTTTAAACAAAACCAATTAAACCACCGATCGATTTTGGTGAAAATCAGATGAAAAAAAAAATGACATCTGCAAAGAATCTTTTAGAATGTTAAATGACAGGAAGAAAAACCTTCCTTTTTTTGCACTTTTTTTTCTAGAGCTAAGCGTCTTTGAGAAATAGAAACTCACCTCTTTCTCTAGTTTTTCCACTTTTTTTGCGTGATCTAAGATACCAAATAGAAAAATAATATAATCAGTGATTAATTGTCAGAGAAAAGTTTGAATTAATGAAGTACAATGTTATCCGCCACATCTCTCCTTCAATAAAAAGCTGTTTTTAGTAATTTAGTATTAAAATTGCGAGTTTAGAGTCGTAAAACAATTTTATACTTGGGCAGAAAAAACGAGATTTTACGTTTTATTAATTTCAGACGGAACAAAGTTTTCATTTATTCGTTTCTTGAAATATTGCCCGCTTTGCTTTTGAAACTTAAGAAGCTTGAAGGAGAATCATGACTTCTTTTCCGTTCAAAATAGTAAATAATAGCGTATTCCCTATTCACACCTGAGTTATTGGCGTTGCTGTACTGCGCTCCAGCAAGACAAGTAACTGCATCCGTCTAATTTCATAAGAAAGAGAAAGAGATATCTCAGACCGTAAAATCTTATAAAATGAAGATTCAAGCCGGCCAACTTTAGCGGGGAAGGAATCTTACCAAGCACTTGGATTGGGGGCAGCGAGACAGAATACTCATTGCTGCCGAGGTCGAAGAGGCTTTTCTGCCCCAAGCGACTTGCTTGGATGCGAAGGCATTAAGAGCCAGGGCAATGAAAACAATCTTGAACGATGCGACCTTCATCTTCGTTTATCAAAGTCACGTTTGAAATGTTGCGTTGTAAGGAACTAGTGCATTTTATCCCTCCTTGCAACGTCATTCTTTACTTTTGAAACAAAGAAAAGAAACTTGTTCGATAATCGTGTTTATGTGACAGCGAAGGTCACGATCATATTAGACCGCAAAGGAAACATTAAGTAAACTCACTTTACTCCATTTGACATTTTTTCAGAAATAGATCTAGCCATTCTAATCTATTATTTGCTTCGGTCACGCAGCGGATGATTATCTGTGCGCATTTTCTGAGACAAACAATTCAAATACTCAGCATTTAGACTGATCACTTTAAAATAACTTGCTAAAAATGAATTTTTCTCTGTTTTCTTGCGACAAAAAATTGCCTCTTATTATGATTTTGAGTGATGAATTATGAATGATTGATGAGTCTAGTTTGGTCACGTTTAACCACAATTCTTGGAATTTTGAAAATAATTTACTATTACAGTCAACTCCCTTCACAGCGGACATATAATTTCCCTCAATCACACGCGCGAGGGTTCCTCTAAAACCCAACCACCCCTGAAATATCCCTGACAATCCCGAACGGCACTCCAGAGATCCTACCCCTAGCTATGAAAGTTAATTTACCTCTTATCAGTGTCAAATGATATCTGCTTAATGGCTGACAGGATTCTTGGCTAGATTGCTGAACATCGACGCGAAGATTTCCGAATCAGAGAATACTGATCTGAAGGATCGAGTAAAGAACCTGCCAACTCTCACGCATTATGCGTGAGTCTTACGCCCGTGGTCTTAAGACAACAATCTCACGCGTCAACGACAGTTTCTCTCGCCTGACCCACAAATCCGGACAAATTCTTTTTTAGCACATGATCATAACGAAAATTCAATTCAATTTCACCGAAAATGTTCCAAAGACGTCTTAGTGTTGACCTTGTATCCTAACTGTATATTACATAACACAAAAATTGTTGTCTTTTTAATAGCGTCGGAAGTGCTCAAAGGCCGTCGGAACATCTCCGTACATCGGAAGTCTTCAGAAAATCGTCGGAAATATTCGGAAGTCGCAGAGATGTTTTCGGAAAGTCCAGTCATGACAAGATGAAAATCTCGCGCATTTGACTCAGAAAAAGTTGGCAGGTTTTGTTTGGGATAAATTAGGGAATTGCCAAAAAGCGCATTGTACTAATAAACTAGCGAGTTAGCTAATTGGTAGTAAACAACTGAAATTGATGATAATCTATTGGGTCCAGAAACGGAAACTGATTACACAGACTTTAAATTTATCGCTTTATCAAATGCCGAGAAGAACCTTTCTGAAACGCAGCAAGTGACCTGGATGGTACTAGCCTGCGGACACAGACGTATTTCCGGTCCTCGCTTCTCTCCACCCAACGAGGAATAAGGAACAGAGAACGAACACGGAAATGGGAAAATGAAAAATGGGAGCCAAATTTAGCCTTAGCCCTAGCCCTATCAGTAACTTTATTACCCATTCTCTGTGTTGTTTCCCCTTCACCTTTCTGTTTCCCCATGAACGTTCCGCGATTCCCGTTCCGCGTTCCTTGTTTCAGTAATATCCAAGGTGATGTTATTAAGTAATACAATTTGCATTTTAAAGTCGGAGCCCTGAAATTATGCAAATAACCCGGGAAATACTTCTCTATAAAAGTAGCTCGTCGGAAAAACAAAATAATAGTGATAACAAATAACAACACCCTGAAAAGGTAGTAGAATTCAGTTATAGGGTTAGCTAAACCCCTAACCCTCAAGAGTTGTCAAAAATGCCCGTAAAAGTCTATTGAGAGCTGTTATACCAGTCTTTTTAGACTTACGCGCCGATAGCGGTATCAATTCTCTAAAAGGTAGGGCGGGTAACACCATCGTTTCTGTACGTGAGAAAGTGTCCCCGGGTGAAAAAATTACAGAATTACAGTGAGCTGGCTTTCGTATTCGGTTTCAGCGTGAAGTTTGGGCCAACATGTTTGCCGCTTTTCTCCAGCCATCACCCACTTGTCGAGCTTCTCAGGCTTCGGCAACCTACAAAATCATCCTGTTTCCTTGAAGATATACGCGTCCCTTTTGATTGCAAACAGCAGATCAGTAATAAACATTAAAAGCAGAAGACGTCCCACGTCATTGTATTTAAAAAGACGTCCATACAAAGTTATTTTAGGTGGAATCCGTGCTAAACACTCTGCAAGTTCACTGAAAGTCTTCATTTGCAATTTTTGTTTATCCTCCAACGCCTCGCTTTCATGACTAGGCACCAGTTTTTTCCCGCGTGTCCGCCATTTGTGAATACGGTGTATTATGACAACAATAACTATGCAACAGGACCAACTAAGTGACAAATTGATAACGAAGTGATATTTTTTTAAAATAAGTTTGAAGGTGAAAGTATGTTATGTACATGTTCCTTAAGAGGAAACTTTCCGAGATTACGTTTTAAGACGAGGTCAGCGTTAACTGTTCTTTAAATTACGGAAGTAACCAGCGATTAAAAGTTAACCAGACATTAGGATAATGTAACCCGCTTTCGATCAACTGGGCCCTGAGTTATTATACTAACACTCAAGAAATTGAACCACGAGCACTTAGAAATCACGTGACTGATTTCAAAGCCTTTGATACATCGCCACAAGATTGTTGAAAATGTGGTTTTAACAGGGGAACTAGAATACCCCCAAATGTCCGTCCTGTAGCGTCTTTATATTCTTCTCTTTGGCAATTTATTAGCTCAGTATGAAACCGAAGCGGCAAAAATCACATTTGCTCAGTCAAAACGTAGAACCCTCCAGAAGAAGCAGTGTTTTCAGGGCACGAGGTAACAGTGGTGTGTTAACCACCGACCACCTTGTTCACTCTGCAAGCAAAAAATTAGTCCGGGTAAGCTGAAGGTGTTTCCCAAAGGGAATCTCTGACCAAAAACTGAATGTCTAACCGTGTAATGGTGACACAGCCTTAGCCGAGTTAGAGATTGAGAGCGAGCAAAAAGAGAGTTGAACTGTTTCTCCTTTCTATTCCTATATATTAGCTACGTAAGTTATAGAGACCTCGTCAATGCATAGGGTCTAGAAAGTAGTCTATAAGCTCTAGTCAAGATATTTTGACTCACAAAAATAGTAAAGGAAATCGAAGAAAATTTTGTAAGACTCATCTCGACAAACAGAAAGCTGAGTACACGTTCAAGGTTTTATAGGTGCCGATTCAATCCGCTCTGAAATGCATTATTGTGGGGTGGGGAGTTGGGGAGAGGGGTGCAGACACAGTTGTTTATCCCAAGTTAAGCTTTTATTTTGCGCTTCAATCATTACCACAAATCATGGCGATACATTGTTGTTCTATACTTCTTTTACTACAATGATTTTAATCAAACTGGTAACAAAACTGTTGCGGATGCTACTTTCGACAGCAACAGAAACTGTAGTAACCAATGGTTCTGATAGAATCGTCAGAACTCGACACCTCATTTCCTCCACTGCCTGCTTGGTTACAGCCGTAATTGTAAAACTCGCCCACGACCATTCCGTTCTTTGTGGCCTTGCCTTTCTTGCCGTAGATTGAAACCTCTGCGTCACAGTTGCGGTAAGCAGTCTGGGCGCAAATCTGAGCACAACTCTTCCTGTCAGCGGTGTTTCTTGCCATCACCGTGTTTCCGCAGCAACCAGTTCCTCCTGAAGCAGAGCTACCTCTGCAGGCAGCAGCAGCCGCCATGTGGAGAGACTGCCACGCCAAGTCGTGGGCAGAGTACTCATCATAACCTGCGTTAAGAAGGTTGTGGGACAGGCGGCCATTGCTGTCGAGCTTGGCGAAGCCAGAAGGTTTACCTGCTTTTGCCAGTTCTGCTTTTAAGTCTGCGACCTGAAAGTGACGAGTGAAAGACTTGATGCTTACTTGATTTCATTTTGAACTTTTCAGCTGAATATATACGACTACTAATTTTCAAAAAGGAGTCTTATACGTAGCCCAAAGAGCCATTGATTGAGTGGATCATATGTTGACACAATTTAACTGACTATCTCTTAATTAAATTAATTTAATGCTGATGTGGCGGACGTAGACAATCTTTCTTTTTCAAGTTCATTAAGAATTTTTAGTTCAGTAAAATTACGTCTTTATCCATAAAAGAAACAAATGGGGCGAAAAATCTGCTGTTGGGTTGAGTAAGGCTTGATGCTTATTATAATGTTCTCATACGTCTATTACGGCTTAAACCAACGCCAGTATTAAAATCAGTAACTTGCATGAACAAGGGAGGATAAAGGGGACAGAGAAGGCATCCCCCATACACACCCTATTCCATAGGTAATTCGTCTCGAGTTATTTTTAGAATCGGGATCAAAAAGCTACCTCGCGTGCAGC